AAAGTGCTGGAAAAGAGGGGGAAGACTTGTGTACCATTATATCTACTCTGGTTAAAAGGGAAAAGTTCAGTTTGGCCTGTCATTATGGGTCAAACTTTGAGGTGAGTGCATAAGTGTGTTGGAGGTGGAAGAGCACTAAGAGGTGATACATGAGCACCGTACACTTGTATACAGTAGTGTGATTACACTGGTCTACACAAAGTTATTGCGGATTTAAAGGGACTCTTCACAACTGTCGATATTATATTAAGTTGCACGATTTATGTTGTAATTATATCACAAAGCACTGTGGATGTTGCAGCTTTTGTGTGGGTCTACATGAATATATGACGGGTAGCATATATTGATTATTAAGCATTTTCAAGCACGGAGGAGTATTACTGTCACTATTGATCAATATGTATCTAGTAGTTTGATTGACACAGTAGCACCATTGCATCTATTTAATTGTTGCGCTGCATTTTTCACTATTTATTCATTCTATGATAAAGCTCCCTGATGTCAGAATACAATACCACAGCAGGAAGGATTCCCCATCCACCTGGAATATATGGATAGGAGCATCAGCCCAATTTTTTATTTTTTTGTTCAACCATTTGTTCAGCTCTTTGAACGAAAAAAAAAAAAAAGACTCATGTATAGCCAGCTTTAGTTCCTCATTTTATCCAGGTCATGGTATAGCTAGTAATAGTTAACCACATTCAACTGAATACTCCTTAAGGTTCAGTTCTAAAGGGATAGAGCCACTACAACTTTTCTCATCAGAACACTGATGTGAGTGTGCCAGAACCCGGACACAGTGTGCCAGCTGATTGAAATAAATGAGTCACTCCCATTCAGAATGAGTATCCAAAGGATTATGGGAAACAACTTTTACAGCAGAAACAGGTTGGACTCAACAAAGTTGGTTAACCAGTTTGTGCTGACTATACATAAATATCCATCCTCTTGGTGGCTGGGCCTTGATGCTAAGAGGCCACGTATTTGCGTACCTAAAAAAACCACACATGTCAAGAGTGCGTGCCCTATGTGCTCCCGAGTCCCGTCATATTTGTCGGCACCTCACAAAAAGGTTCCGATTGCTACTTCCTACTTTTCGAGTATGTGACCGCTCTGACAGCCAATCATGGTGGTCACGTGACCCTAAAACCCACCCCCGCCTCCCGGTGTTACAAACCCTTTAAGGGGCCGGGAGGCACAGTCACCAAGGGGTTAAATCCCCTGCAATGTACATTGATCATCCAGAGGGAATTTTTTTTTTCGAGTTACTCTTTATGATTGATAGAAAGCAAAAGTAACCTAATTTTAAGCTGAAATCCAGGCTACACTAATATTGTTTAAATGCAAGACATTTTTAAATTTGTACTTGAAATTCGGTCTCCTTGGTGTATTTCCCTTCAGATCTGTGCAATAATCCAGCATGAAACAATTCTAGGACTTTTCATCAGAAATACAAAAAATGTAAGCCACACTCCAAAATGTAGCTCTTCTTTCTTGTCAAAAACAGGACAGCACTGATTGATGTCTCCACCTGAAACCAACCTTCCTTGACATGTTTCAACACTGCTGACTTGCTTACAAGGACAGGGGAACTCTAGGACTTTGAGCTCAGGTTATGTACAGCATTGATGATGTTGCCACTATTTTTACAAGGTAATATTTGGATTTGGTGCACACTAAGGGGATATATACTTCTATGGATCAATATAGCAATGAATCGACAAATATAGCTAAATACATGTTTTGGAGTTCAGATTCTGCATTCGAAATCTTAATGGAAGCAAAGTGTCAGATCTGCATGTTTGTGATTATATATACCACTATCAAGGGGTCCCTGCAAACATATTCTGACTCTATACAGTGCATATACTAATATCGGCACATGAGCAGCACAGTGGCTAAATGGTTAGCACTTCTGCCTGGCAATACTAGGGTGATTGGTTCGAATCCCAACCATGGCACCACCTGCCTGGAGTTTGCATGTTCTCCCTGTGCCTGTGTGGGTTTCCGCTAGGTATTCTGGTTTCCTCCCACACTCCAAAGACATGCTGGTAGGTTAATTGGATCCTGTCTAAACTGGCCTTAGTATGTGTATGTATGAATGTAAGTTAGGGGCTTTAGATTGTACACCCCTTGAGGGTTAGGGACTGCTGTGAATGTATAATATATGTATGTAAAGCTCTGTGTAAATTGATGGTGCTATATAAGTACCTGAAATAAATAAAATATAGAGAAATCACTGTATTTTCTCACTAGGTGAATCTCAGTCCACTTGTTACATAAGATAAAAGTGTTCACAAGCCAAGAAGGGCTGGGACCTCTGAACTGATTCCATAAACCTGCAATTTCTCCAGGACATACAGTTTTATTCAAGTGTCTGCTTCGCCTTTCAGATCTCTCCTGTTGAGCGCCTGTAAGTCATCTGTAAAAAATTCTCATCGTGACCTAGAAACAGTTCCTGACCAGACTGACTTTCCAGCTCGATACCCCATTGTAAAATTGACAAGTTCATGTTATGGATGGTGAGAAAATACTGAATGCCTTAGTCTGCACTCCAACTGATAAAATGTCTTAGTGCACTGCAACAGAGATGAACGAATGTCATCGGACATTCAAGGATCTTTACAAGTCAGTATGAGGCCTCCTGCACACTGTAATGATGTATGAGCATCAGACATTCCTGGCAAAAAAAAACGCGAGCCTGGGCTGTATATCACATGTGCATAATTTGTATTTGAAAGTATGTACACACAAGCAGGGAGCATGGCATGTGAATGTATTTGTGTGTATTCATACGTATTTGTGAGCTTTTGTGTGCATTTGTGAGTATTTATGTGCATAACCACAAGAATACTGACCGGCAACTCAGATTTTTCTATATTTTTTTTTGTACTCATGAAGACGCAGAGTTTATTTACTCACCTGTTTAAACAGGCACATTGTAGACAATGGGTTGCATTTTATATCAGTAAAAAAAAAAAAAAAAAAACCACTGTACTAAGCATCTTCAAGTTGCAGTGTGCAAGAGGCCTCAGTAAATTCCTAAAATGTGACAAAATGCAGCAATAATACTGTATACATACAGTATATATATATATATATATATATATATATATATATATATATACCTTTATTATTAGCAGTTATTTGCTGGGACAGGTGATTTTGCCTAGGGTGAGATGATGTTATCAGTGTGCTGTAGCCTTGATGATGCATGTTCACCTGCACAGGGATGCACAGAGCACCTATGCATCCCTGTGCGGACAATCCCATTCATGTCAGTTGGACATAGTGGCCGCATGGACTCAGCTGCTGCTCCCAATTTGACATCTGTGTGGGTAGATGATCCCGAATGCAGACAATGTGCACCTGCATGGATCTCAAATTGGGAAAAGTGGCTGTGTCCCAATTGACATGAATGGGACTGCTTGTACAGAGTTGCATGAAACACGGGTAAATATGGCCCTCGCATGGGCGAATGCACTGATATGCACTGATATGCCCGTTTGAATGAGACTTAAGTGTGAGACATTTGTCAACAGAGCCAAGAACTGCAGAGGCACTATGATTCACATGACTGTGTCATTTCTATACCAGAAAATCAGTCCAGGAAGTAGATGGTGACCCTCGATGGTGCTTCAGCAAAGATGGAACCTTCTGGAGAGATAAGCACATAAAGGTATAGTAAGAGGAAGTACTGTGATCTGTGAGAGGCAAGAAATACCCGTATAACAATAATAATAATACAAGTCTCGGTCTGATTCTAATTGACTAACCAAGGGTTAATACCCTGAGGGTATAGATCCAGCTTCAAATATGGTGGCAAACCAGCTTCCTGAAGACGATTAATCAAGTTGAAATGTGTTGGAGCGTGGGTGATAACGTGACAAGGGGCGGACTGACCATTTGGAAACTCGGGCACTGCCTGAGGGCCCGGGGTCAGTAGGGGGCCCCATGAGATGCCCCTGGTACCTTTGTAAGCCGTGTACAGGGGTGGGCTCCCCAGGATACAGTGAAGTCACGAACGAGGAAAGCAACCCCAACACCAGGTTTTGCCACAACAGAATTTTACTTAGATGTGGCAAATAAACACAACCACAAATGCTGGGAACATACAATAAATTTACATACACCCAGCCCAAAGGCTGAGACCCTTGTGCTGCACAGCACGGCGCCTTCTGATGGATGACGGTAGAAAGCAAAGTAATTTACCTACTGGCGGGCACAACTAAGCTGCCACACCTTACCTGTTATTACCTTAAAAGAGCAGGAATCAGTGTATGGGTGTACGGTATGGGCTAGCCTGCGGTGCAGCACAACAGCTTACAATCTTACACAAATCTACAGTATTCCCTCTCCCATAACTGGTCCTGTAGCACGTGCCTGAGTATTCCTTCTGAGCAAACCGCCAGTCTGGCTTGAGTTTGTGGGATTTTATCAGCTCTCCAATGTGAAATGTCACTTTAAGTTGTGGAGTCCTTCCAATGATCAGTAACAACACTTGTGGCCTGACACAAACAGAGACCCTAACTAACTAATGGTAAGCCTGTCTCAGTCTCTGGAGGCACCAACACTGAAATGAGGTGCGTGCACGATCTTACCAACCTGGGTATGCCTTGCATCCGCTGGTGACTCAGAACAGAACAAATGTCTCTCCAACAAGCATGCGATCTCATAAGCCTTCCTGGCAGCGATCTTCCTTTCTCTGAACAGGATCAGTGTCTTGAACACCATCAGCTTCACTAGCTGCAGTTCTCACACCTGGATGCCAACGGATTCTCTGCTCACATGGCTCTTTTCCTTCACCATCATCAAAACATGGCTGCAGTCTCTCTTCCTGTTCACTGAGCTCCCATTTGTAAAACCCCACCCCTTCCTGAATATAGAAATATCTATGCAGTCTGAGGCTGTGTTAGAAAAACAGTGACATGCTGTGGCTAAATGTCAGTAAAACATTTCAAAACATTTAATTCACAATGAGAGCTGTTTTCCCATCTCACACCTTTTTCATAGGCTTTTTTGAGTTTGGGCAAGGACACAGGGGCCCCATGATCCCCTATTGCCTGGGGGCCCCATGATTTGTCAGTCCGCCCCTGCATGTGACACATCTTCTGCTGATGTCACATCCAGCCACTGGAGCCCATGCCACTCCCGGTTTCAGAGAAGCCAATGGCTGTTTTTCCCCCAAACACACAAGCGGTTTACACCTGCTGCCGGTCATTATAGGCACTATTACAAAGTGAGTGGAAATCTGCATTTTTTTATGATATGAGATCTCCCTGTCACTTTTCCTTCCTTTTTGAGTGCAGCCTTATACACATGGAAGAATTCTTGGTACAAGCAAATGATGATGAAAACATAGGGGAGTGCCCCACAAGTTCTACTGACCTAACTAGTGATAGTTGGTCAATTGTTTGTTTGTGAGTGTCAGTCTACTTGGGAAACCAGCAGCACTTTTATATATTTAAACAGCAGCGGCACTTTATTTTTAATTATCACCTTGGGACTTTTTGTTTTTGTATGTGTATTGGACTTCACATTTTTAGGCTGACCTTGTACCACAGCAAGTTTCAAGATGGATGCCAATCCAGAAGGTGAGGGACATAAAGCTCCCCCGTCTTTCCACCAAAATGTGCCACCATCACCTGCCACAGTCACCTGCTTCCACTCAGTCTGGCAGCTATTTCTTGAACGCGTGTCCCAACCCCCAAAGGTTAAACAAGGCTGTCCAACCATGAAGTTTGAATGGCTTAACAACTGAGAGAGATTCTTCTGATACACCCAGGGTAAACTAATTCTGGTTATAGGCACTTCCACTTCTAAAGGACACTGCCAACGTCTTTGCTTAAATAGTTTCTTTAATCGACGAACTTGAGAATTACAGGTACATCTCACATCAATCTTCACATACAGGAACAGTTGATCGACACAATGGCTGAGGTAGAACTGGCTGTGCTGCTGTAATGTAATTCTGTCCCAAGCAGTTTCACATAGAAAAAGGAGCATAGAGAACATAGCACAGCCTATACCTGAGATGGATAATGTCCATGCCAACAATAGTCCATAGAAAGTTGAATACCTAAAGATGGACCCTTTTGAGGGGTAACGAGCAGAAGAGCAGGATTTACATTGTAGCAGTAGATACTAACAGACGTATTCCCATGGGACAACAACCCCAGGTTACCAGAATCACAATGCTATGTCAAATACAATAAAATAACAATATACAGTACAGGATGCCTTCTGGGTCTTCTGGGATTTCTGCCAGGATTTACAGGATTCCTAGGACCTCCACTGCCTCTAAAGTTCCCAGTAAGGAAACTGGGTGTGTTCTCTGACCAGAAGGGTATTTAAGCTCCAGCCTTTGAAGTCACTGGTGCTGTGTTTTATCACTAACTACCTGAGAGCTAAAGAGACATAGTGCTTACCTGCCAGTTCCCCGTTTATTGCCAACCTGCATTGACCTGACTACTTTCTTATCTGCTGCCTGCCTCAACCCCTGCCTAGACCTGGCTACTCATCTGGCTGCCATCTGCCATGACCCCTGCCTAGACCTAGTTACTCTTTTGGCTGCCATCTGCCACAACCCCTGCCTAGACCTAGCTACTCCTCTGGCTGCCATCTGCCATGACCCCATCCTAGACCTGGTTACTTCTCTGGCTGCCATCTGCCAAAACCCCTGCCTAGACCTGGTTACTACTCTGGCTGCAATCTGCCATGACCCCATCCTAGACCTAGTTACTTCTCTGGCTGCCATCTGCACAACCCCTGCCTAGATCTGGCTACTCCTCTGGCTGCTACCTGCCATGATCCCATCATAGACCTGGTTAATTCTTTGGCTGCCATCTGCCACAATCCCTGCGTATACCTGGTTACTCCTCTGGCTGCCATCTGCCATGACCCCATCCTAGACCTGGTTACATCTCTGGCTGCCATCTGCCACAACCCCTGGCTAGACCTGACTACTTCTCTGGCTGCCATCTGCCATGACCCCTGCCTAGACCTAGACCTGGCTACTCCTCTGGCTGCCATCTTCCATGACCCCATCCTAGACCTGGTTACTCTTTTGGCTGCCACCTGCCATGACCAGGCAGGATAGGCAAAAAATAATGTTTAGGAGGGCAGCTGCTAACACCTAACACAAACCCTAATCGATTATTAAGCGTGTGATCAATACAAAAAATAGTGTAGCGCTGCCAAGCAAGAAAAAAAGCTAAAAGAAAAAAATATAATATAAATGTATGTGTTACAGCACACCTCCCCCACTAAGTGTAAGCTTTAGTGTTATGGATAATGTGTGTATCAAATATGACCTACCCACAATAGGTAACACTTGATAAATAAAATTGTGCCGTGTGTCAGACTTGTCCACTTATAACCAAAATGTACAGTACACTATGGTGCTACAATACACCTCCCTCACTATTAATCAAAACCTATCCATTCATAATAAAATTATAATGTAACAAAAACACTATGTGATATTTGTAAGAAAGTCCAAAGGAACTCAATGTACTGGATGATCAATTGGGAATATAAAGTTGCATGCAGTTTTTGGTGATATTAGTGCTTTAGTGAACATGCACTCCTCTGTGAGTCTATCAGACCAGTGACTCCACTCATGCTCCCCCTCCACAACCTCACTCACCACAATTATTTGACCTCTTGTAGAAAACAGGTCTAGAAGCATTCACGTTAAAATCCTCAATCCGTAGGTCTCAGTATTATGCTGGTGTGTTATCCTCCGATCCAATGATCCCCTCACAATACAGGTTGGAATCCTCTCTCCTCCTCCATATGGACCACACAATGCAACATCAAAAGAGGAAGCTCCCATAGCGTCATACTAGTTATTAAATTATATAAAAACAAAGTATTGCACTTACAAGAATTAAAAAGTGATAGCGCTTTAAGAGGCATGTAATGCCGGAACGCTATCTTCATTCCAGCACTAGAATTCGTCAAACCAGAAGTGATGCAATTAGCTCCGTCCAACATGTTTTGTCTTCACGACATCATCAGGAGCAGCTGTGTTGTAGCACATTAATTTATATTATACTTTTTCTTTTTATTTTTTTCTTAATTGGCATTGCTACACAATTTATTTATTTACTCCTCTGGCTGCCACCTGCCATGACCCTTGCCCAGACCTCTTTACTATTTTGGCTGCCATCTGCCATGACCCTTGCCTAGACCTGGTTACTCTTTTGGCTGCCATCTGCCATGACCTTTGCCTGGACCTCACTACTCTTTTGCCTGCCGCAACCTCCGCCTGGACCCAACTCTCTTATGTACCACTTGATGAATAGTCTCTGCACTGAAGACCCTCCTGAGGACCATGACCTGGTGCCAGTTTGCAGCAAAGACAACCAGGAACCACTTGGAATTACAGCCTATCTCCACTATCCAAATCTCTGGTGAAGACCAACTGGTACCAAGACTGCTTAGACTGTACACCTTTGGTGAGTCATTACTACCTAGCAGGTGGCATCATAATACACATTACTGAGCATACATGCACCTAATATTTAAAATACATCTGTATTAAGCTGGCCACACAGTGTCGATGGTGGAATTTCTCCTGAGCAGCCATTGCGTTCTTCCAGTAGGTAGGGGGAGCCATCCCTTCTTGGAGAACATGGTGATCACTGCTAGCGGCTTTACTAGATAGTACTTGAGTACATTCAGCCTGCCCATAGATGGTTTGAATCTCAGCCGGTACCTGCTGAACTGGACGAGACTTGAACAGTCTATGGCCGGCTTTAGTCTTAGAGACCTGTGGCAAAGAGAACAATGAGGAAGTGAAGATAAGGTGAATATATAAAAAGGGCAATTACTGGACAAGGAGGGTGGAGTTGGAGCATTTTTTATGTCTCGTTCCTCGAACCTTATAAGCTGCTGGTTCAGCTAGATATTACGTGAACCTGATACATAAATTATGAATTGAAGCCAAATAAATAAAGAAATGTATACATAAACAAATAAAAACATCATAAGAATAAAAAAAACTGTAACCACCTAGTTAATAATGTGCCTTTTTGTTGCATGTCAGAAAGGGTGGTTTATGAAGGGTGCCCCATTGGCAGCAAGTTCATATACATCATGAACGATGACTGTTCTCCAAGAAAGAAACATGACTTAGAACAATAGCAAATGAATGGATCCGCAAAGTTAATTACAGGTTTGGTAATAATTTTCCATGCAGTCTTCAGGAAAACCGTGCCAGCTGTTTACAGTGTTCTGAGATGGCGGTGTGAACAATTTCTGCTTTTGTCATGTTGTTTGCTTACTAAATCTACTGATTTCATTGTATTGGCCGTCTGAAATTTAGATAACTGTCCTTCGAGAAAACAAAATACCAATATGCCTTAAAAAAAAGACATATTTTTGATTTTCGTTTAATATGCAAATGTGATCTCTGATTCTTCCAGGTTTACAAAGTCTGTAATGGATATTTCTGTTACAGTGGATGATGTTTAAACTTAAAAGCTTCAAAATAAGGTCTTCCTGTACAAAAAAAAAAAAGTAAAGTGTATTTAAACCGAAAACCAAAAATGTTATATATTGCAGCAGAGAAATCCTTAAACGTGGTTGCTGCATCTGTTTTCTTTTGTCTATCTATCCATCTATCTATCTATCTATCTATCTATCTATCTATCTATCTACTACTTGTTTCTTGTTTCACCAGTCTTCCATACACTCCAGTGGAATGCTAGCAGCACTGAGTTGGATATTTTCTATCCTGCAAGATTGTTAGTGCCCAGCCTCCTTGTCTTTATATATATATATATATATATATATATATATATATATATATATATATATATATGTGTGTGTGTGTGTATTGTGGGAACTTGCTTCAAGTGGTAGAGCTTCTTCAAAGCACACGGCAACTCGCTTATTTTTTAAGGGCCTGTTTGCCCACTTTTATTTAAATGACAGTTCAATAACATAAAGGTTTCCCATGCAGGGGTATCCACCATCACACGAATTCAAATGAACAGTATTCAGCCTCCTGGCTTGTACGCAGTTTTAAGTCTGCCTCCTGCAGACTCTTCCCAAAGTATGGCACTAGCAC